AATTGCATATCATAGAAAGAAAAGGTTGCTTAACATTGTTCTCAAAATACTCTCTCGGAACAGGAACGCAAATTTGAGAATAAAGATCCGAAATATAATGTGCTGTATACATCTCATCTTTAATGGCCGCTGCAATGTATCCTTCACTTGTCGAAATTATGAGTTTGTATGCCGAGCGCTATCCACCTAGAGCATCATCGTCCGTTTCCGCGAGATTTTTTTTTTATTTCACCCCAAAAAAGAGCTTCCCCGAGGCGCGAATTTTTTCCCGAACGGCGTGCCACGCTCGCCAGTTACGCAGTTCGGAAAAGGTCTGGATTTTCAATGGAAGATCACGGTTACTGCCCCAAAAGTTTTGCCGATTGAATTTCGGCGGAAATACCGTCATTCGCTTTTACGTGGGCAAAAGCGAGATGAACAAGCAGAAACACAAGTAAACACACCGAAGTCCCACTTATTCTCCATTATAGGGTTCCCAATATTTGTAATCATAACCAATTTTCAACTAGATAGAGTCGAGATAAAAAAAGAGGTGTGCAAAGAAAAAATAATTCACCTGAACCCGAACCACCTGCTCTAACTTGCTATTCATTCTTCGCAACTTGGATCGATGTTCTGCAATCCACTCTAAGCAAGGAGCGGTATCCTTGTTAAGCAGGGCGTTGATCACCTCAAACATACATTCAAGCGACTAATACAGAAAAAATAGAACGGAAAACTTACACGCTGAACTTTCGAGAACACGTCTAAGTCCACCATATTTGTCACATTCATCTCTTCCGCTAGTGCCTTTGCACTTTCGATATGGCCACATCTCAACATCTGCAGGCAGATAAGCCGCGCCACTTGCTGGCGATCTCGACGCCAAATTTCGAGATCCCGTAATGTTTTCTCACTCGAAAGATCCTGCCAATAGCACATGCGCAACACTGATTATTAGAATATGGCTTGTGAAAAATTTCGTTAAATTTGTGGGGACTCATGCGATTTTCGCAGACTTCTAATAACATGTATGCAAAAACGATAAAAATCAGTTTTACACAATTTTGTGAAAACTATTTGCAGGACTCACTTCGTTTCTCAGAAACTGAATCCGAGCCTGCATGTTTTTGATGAACTGTCTTTGTTTTCTAACTGCATCTTTCTTTGCTGCATCAAGTTGTTCAAGTTTGGATTTAAATTCACGAAAAGATTCACGAGCCTGAAAGATTATAACCCCTCAGTGGTACTACTAAATGCTTGCGAAT